AATAGAAAGGAAGTTTTGGATGTTAATTCTCCTGATTATGCTGAACGACTGAATAATTTTTATGCTGCTATTCAAATTCCTTTAGATAAAGGAAGAGAACAAGAAAGATTGCTTAAAAATAAAACTCATAAAGATATAAAAATTGAAAGTAAATTTAGTAGTGGTAATGAGGAACAAGGCAAAAAGATTTTTGACCAGATTTCTGGAATGGTTGCTAATAGTTATAAAAATTTTCATCACTTTATCCAAAAAGGCCAACAATCAGCAAGTTCCGGTGATGGTGGTACTCCACCAGGCAGTCTCCTCTCGGATAAAGTCGATAAAATTACTACTGAAATTGACAATTTTGGCAGAGCGAAAAAGCAAGAAATTATGCTTATTCGTCAAGGTGCTCGGCTAAATGATTTCAAAGAAGGAAAATTAAACTTTAATAACAATCCAGTCTACAAGTGAAATTCCTTTAAAGTCCAACAGAAGTTTGAGATAAAAAATACCTTGTCTGAAAATAGAGTTTATTTAGACAAGACTTATTTAACTGATGATGAAATTAGTTTCGTAATTAAAGAATTTGCGGATAATCCAAGCGTTTGGAGAATTGAACCAATAAAAGGAAATGAATACTTTGTTCATAGTTCCGCACGAGGAAATAATAATCGTGAAATCGGAACTTTGATACATAGCAAAGAGAAATTTAGTGAGGTAGAGTGAGCGGAAGTCAAGGAGATATTAGAATTAAATAAGCAATATGGAATAGCATTGAGAAAGTTAAAGGGTGAAATATCTCCTGAATACGGAGAAACTCGTGAAGGACTAGAAATTTGAGCGAAAGAGTTAGAAAAAAAGTTATTAATTAATAGCAGTTGTATTATTACAATTATTTTCTAAACAGCGTATTTTTAAAGATATAAATCTTCCACTTACATTTCTTTCGGCCGAAACCCGAGGCATTGGTCCGTAGATTTTGGGACTGCTTATATCAGTATAATTATTAAATTCAAAATTATAACTGTCTGATATTTTTTGTTCTATTTCAGTTTCAGCTGAATTTCGTTCTAAATATGTAATTTCTTCGATTTGTATGTTTTTCATGTTTATAAAAATTAGGGAGTTTTTGAGGCTCCCTTTTCCCCCTTTTTTTATAGATAAACTTATCACCTATTAGCGTGATTTCTCAAATACATAAGCAAGTCAAGCACTAAATCATCATTATTCAATGTCTTAGCAACAATAGTCAAAAAATCCATTCACTCACTAGGACTTGTAGAATGAT